AGAATGCGCATAGCACACTAAAAACCAGAAACATAGCCCTGTCGTGATAAACTTACCTAGACACAGATCAGCAAGGGATGAGAAACAAAAAGGGGTGTGGAAAGGACAAGAGTGACAACAGTAGAAGGTCAGGAGAATGTATTATATGCAAACAAGTCTTGATAAAGTTTATTTGCATTGTGCACATATTGTAGGCCTTTCAAATGCATTAATAAAATTTAGTAGTTGAGGAAGTAAAGATCAGCAAGAAAACAAGAACAGTGGAATGGTGTCAAGCTAGCTGACAGAAGCAAGCAGCAAGTAAGGAGCAGGGTGGATTGATTTAAAAATCAAGGCAATTTAAATCAGCAAGTTAAATCACCAACTGGAAAGCCTCGGTTTAAATCATCCATTTTAATCAACTTTTCATTCATACTTCAGTTATTTTCTTTAAAAAGGTGCACTCATTGGTTAATATAACCATTAAAATATGTTGATTTACAAGTAAATACAGCATTTACACTAGATTTGGCACATCTTTTTGCTACCTAAGAAAGTACATTATAACTATGTATATTTATTTAAGCAAATATGTAGTTTAATATTTTCAGATTCTTTATTAATTGTATATATTTATTAGGTTAGAAAATGGTGAATGATATATTGTTATTTACTGGATAATTAACTTTTTACTCATGATTTGTGTCAAGCTGCATTAGGATGGTACCTGGAATTTAATTAAACACCCAAAGTAGCACATACATTATTTTTATTAAACAAAACAATCTTAAATGTTTTGGGTACATAAACTTCTTTCATCAAAAAATGTTTCACGTTTACAACTAAATTATAATAAAGTTTAAGCCAGTGGTTCTCAACCTGTGGGCTGCTTGCGGCCCGATCGGCACAGAGCCGCAGCCCCTGACATCCTCAGGGCCATTTAGCTAGTATTGGATGCAGCCCACAATTAGGTTGAGAACCACTGGTTTAGGTCTTAACATATTTTGTATTAAATTCAGATTTAATTTTAAACCGGTTTATTTTTAAAAGAAAAAATAATTTAAACAAAAGCAAAAATGCCCAATTAAAATTTTTTAAAAATCTGATTTTTAATTTTTTTTTTTTAAATCACTGATGTTTATCCACACTTAAGGAGGGATTTGAGCAAAGTGTCAAAGCATGGGATGAAATAA